AGCCGCTCGGATGGGGCGTGCGCAGAAGGCCTCATGTTCTCATCGTGCCGAGTGGGATCCTTGGCACAGCGGTCCTGCTCGGCACCCAGGACCTTCAGCATGGGGTCCCCGCCGCCGTTGCAGTTGCTGAGGGAAGAGCTCTGCAGCGGGTTCTTGGACTTGGGTTCCCCACCACCCACGCCCCGATTTGGCATGTGCTCAGCCAGGAACGGTGAGAGACGCTCGCTGACCTTCACTGCCTTCTCCACCACGCTCACTTTCCGGTCGCTGTCGGGTTTGGTGTCCTGCGTGAGGTCTACCACACTGCGGGGCCGGGGCTCCTCCTTCGGCTTGCCCTCCTTCTTGTTAAAGGGCAGGGACAGATCGCTCCGGCATGCCCGCTCCTTCCCGCCAGGGTCTTTCAGGCCTTCTTTCGAGCTCTTGTGCAGCTGCCCAAGGTCCTTCTCCCGGAGCAAAGTGCTCGATGTGTGGTTGCCCGCAGTCCTCGAGAGGGGAGGCTGCGGGTGCAAAGCAGACTGGCCCGCGTGGCCAGACAGGTAGAACCCATCTGCAGAGTAAAAGCAAACAAAATTACCATAGGCCTCCAACCCTTTCAGTCCTACACAGAGACAGGTGAGAGGTGGCAAAATGGGAAGCAATGGGTTTCAAGGATGTCTTGGGCACAGCCAGGAAGGACCAGGGCAGAGGAGACCAGGCAGGTACCTCCATGTGGCCCAGGTGGGATGCAGGACAGCCCTGTCTCTGATGCACACTGAGCCTTGCGATGTGACACCACACGGGGGCTTCAAGGAGGGACCTGGCTCGGTTCCCCACAGCACAGGCACATCCAAAACCTTGGTACTGCTAACACCAGGAAACATCCTGGATAATAGCCCCAGGGGGTTCCCACTCTTCACCCTCAACATCCCAGCACCCAGCAGCTCCAACAGCCAAGCAAGCCCAAGCACAGGGCGAGCACCCAGGGGTGGCCGAGGGGAAGGGCAGGCAGGGACCCAGACTCACCTTTCTGCGACTCAAAGAGGCTGTGCTGACCCAGCTGAGCTAGGAGAGGACTGCCGGCACTGGGGGGCTCGAGGTGGCTCAAGGGAATGTACGACGGGTAGAGCCCGTTAGGCAGATGGGAAAAGCCTGCAGAAAACGGGAAACAGAAGAGGGAAACATGTTTCAGCCCAAGCGGCACGCTGCCTTGGAACAAGCCCCGCAGGAGCACAGACTGTTGTGGCTGTCGGTCCCTCGCGCGCCAGGAGCAGTGGCTGCAAGGACGCATGCGGCAACGCACACCACACACAGCCCACGGTGGGGAGCGCTGCTCGGGGCCCCCACTTCAGGTACTGACCCTCCACTATGGGTCCCCCAGCTCACCCCTTGCAGGGGCTCTAACCGGTGGGCAAGCTGGTTTCTGAGCAGAGCCTTAAATCTGCAGGCTAAACGACCAAACCGCCTTGGCCGATAAGCTGTTTTATCGCAAGTACAGCGACCTGCGGGTGAGGGCACTCCCAACACGCTTCCCGAGCAGGGATAAGATGCCCTTGCCAGCACAGCTTTGCCACCACAGCCTGTCCCTGCCGCTGCGGCCCCACACCGGGTGCAGGCTTTGGGGAAAGCGCGAGAGCATCCTGCACAGCAGCTCACACAAAGCATAGGTTCACGTACCCAAAACCAGCATCTTACCCCCGAGGAAGGCAAACCAGAAAAGACCTGCTGCCTCCCCACGAGCTGATACAAAGGTAGAACGTCCCCAAGGCCCCAAGCTGCCAGTGGTCTGGATTATGTCCTGGACACTGGGGCCTCCTCCAAGAACGAGCCCTCCAGCAATGTCCTCACATAAATAATTATCAGCAGCATTTCATCAGTGAACACAATCACGATAACGGTGGTAATAACACAAGCTCTTGGCCACAGGCAGCAATTCCTCTGCAACACTGCCACCAAACGGCACCTGTGCAATACTGCAAACCCCAGCGCTCCGTGAGAACCAGCTTCCCAGTTGGTGTCATCATTTAAAACCGATTAAAAGCCATCAGGAGAGTCCGAAGGAGCCAGTCAAGCCCTCTGCAACCCTCCTCCCTTCCCCTCAGACCCCATTAGCAACAAACCTCCCCAAAATTCAACAGTCCCACTGAAAGCAACCAGGCAACGAGTCTGCCAAGAGTCCAGCATTCGACTGGATCAAAACAACATCACACCAAAACCCAACAGGAGACAGAAGTTCGGTCCCCGAAGCTGCACGTGGAGCACCATCTGCGAGAGATAGTCAATATTTCACATTATTTAGACAGCCGGGATCTCTTTCGCATATATGTTTGCATCCCGGCACATGTGCTTCACCGACGCGGTGCTCCGCACAGCTCCTGGCCCAGATCCATCACCCGACAGCTCCCAGCGGCATCACCCGCACACGCCAACCCTCCAGCGGCAGGACCAGGGGAGCTGCTGTGCCCATGAAGTTCAACGCAGAGCCCGTTCCCAGCAGATAAAACTTGCCATTTAATCTTGCGCGGGGTGCTGTAAAGGCACTGAGCATGCACACATATTCACACCTCTCCTTGGTAACCCCAATACCTTCACACTGGAGCATTTCCAAACACACTTTCTTATCATTCCAGTGCTGGGTAGCATCCAGGGCGCACCTACCCCGGGTTAGCTGTGAGCAGCTCCACGCCACGGCATGTTTGCCTCGGCCGTGCCACCTCCACCGCGCCGCTCCC